TATCAAAATCATCAGAAAGATAAGCTTCTGATTCTTTATCTTCTTGAATCTTCTCCTTTGGTTTAGTGAATGTGACAGTCATATCTGCAAGCTTTTCACATAACTTTGACTTTTCATGGTCAAGCTTATCATCAAATTTGACATGAATTAATTCCTCCACAATTTGTGATTTTGTGTTACAAATTATGAAGCCTTTAGAGCATTCAGAGTATCCTAATAGCAGACACTTCTGTGCTTTGGAATCAAACTTACCCAGATTCTCAAATATAACAAATACACCTGAATGGATAGAAGTAGGAATTGTTGGGCTTTCTATTCTTCCACAATTCATAAGGAGTCTTACACAAAATAGGTCTTATGGAGATTATATTTTGAATATAGCATGTTGTGTTTACTGCTTCTTCCCAGAAATGCTTGGCCAATTGACTTTCTTGGATCATGGTGCGAGTCATTTCTTGAAAATTTCTAATTTTCCTTTCTAGAACCTCATTTTATTATGGAGTTCGGGGGCAAGAAAAATCATGTACTGCGCCATTTGAATCAAAATTTTCAAAATCTTTATTTTCAAATTCTCCACCATGATCACTTCGAACTCTAACTATTCTGCAGCCTTTTTCATTTTGCACTTGAGAACAAAAGGAAGCAAATACAAAGTATGACTCATCCTTGTATTTCAAGAATTTTACCCATGTCCACCTGCTGTAATCATCAACAATGACAAGTCCATATTTCTTACCATTGATAGAAGTAGTTTTCACTGGTCCAAATAAGTCAATGTGAAGAAGTTCTAATGACCTAGAAGTAGAAACAATCTTTTTAGATTTGAAAGAGGTTTTTTAAAATTTTCCTTTCTGACAAGCTTCACAAAGAGCATATGAAGTATACTTTAGATTGGGAAAGCCTCTGACTTATCCAAGTTTATTTAGTTTAGAAATTTTTCTCAAGCTAACATGATCCATACATCGATGCCAAACCCACTCCTCTTCTTGAAAAGTCATAAGACATTTTACATTTTGATTTTTCAAATCTGATAATCTTATTTTATGAATATTGTTCTTCCTATTGCCATTGAACAGAGTTGAGCCATCCTTCTGACTAATAGCTTTACGGGACATTTGATTAAAGATGACATCATAACCATTGTCACTAAGTTAACTGATTAACAATAAGTTATGCATCAAACCATCTACTAAAAGAACATTATTAATAGAAGGAAATTTACCAATACCAATCGTTCTAGAGTTGGTGATCTTTCCCTTATGATTGCCTCTAAAACCAACGACGCCTCCAGACTTAATTTCTAAATCTTGAAACATATGTCTTTCACCCGTCATGTATTGAGAGTATCCACTGTCCAGGTATCATGACTAATGATTCAATGGCGCTATTAAGGAGATCTTTTTATCGTCATCAAAGTATGACTCATAATTAATTATCAGTTCATATTATGATGTTGTTTCTTCCCTGCTGGTCCTGGCATGAATGTCATATTTACCTGTTCTTCGTGAGAAACTTCATCTTCTGATTCTGAATCATCTCATGTTGCCATGAGTCCCTTCTTAGCTTTGTAAGCCTTTTTAGGATGTTTGTCTTTCTTAAGCTTTGGACAATCATTTTTATAATGTCCATGCTCGTTGCGTTCAAAACAAGTGACTTCTTTTCCAGAAGCATTTCTCTGACCGGAAGTGGATTCACCTCTTCCATACGCCATTCTTTGACTTCTGAACTTGCTTTGTCTGTGCTTCCAGATTTGAATTATTCTTCTAGATATTAATGAGAGTTCATCGTCATCTGAATCTTCTTCTGATTCTTCCTTAGCTTGGTAAACCTTGGTTTTACCAGAAGTAGACTTTAGAGTAACTAATTTTACCCTCTTCTGAGGTTCATCTTGTTCCAGCTCTATTTCATGGCTTCTTAAAGATCTAATCAACAACTTAAGAGAGGTGTTGTTCAGATCCTTTGCAAATTTTAAGGCAGTTACCATTGGTCTCCATTTAACAGGTAGACTTCTGATAATCTTTTTAACATGATCTGTGGTAGAGTAACCTTTGTTCATAACCTTAAGTCCTGCCACAAGATTTTGAAATCTTGAAAACATTGTTTCCACAGATTCACCGTCTTCCATCTTGAAGGCTTCATACTTTTGAATTATGGCCAAAGCCTTTGTTTCTTTTAACTGTGTGTTGCCTTCATGTGTCATCTAAAGAGAATAAAAAATAGACTTTGCAGTCTCTCTATCTGTGATTTTCTCATATTCATTATATAAGATAACACTTAGAAGAATGATTCTTGCTTTGTAGTGATTTCTGCATACTTTCTTCTGTGCTTCAGTCATTTCACTTATTGCAATCTTATGACCTTTATCATCTACCGGGTGAGTGTAGTCATCAACTACCAAGTCCCATAGATCCAATTCATATGCTAGAAATTAACTTTATATTTTATCCTTCCAATAGTCAAATTTCTCCCCATCAAGCATAAGAGGTTTAAACTATAGTGATCTCTATCTTTATCCCTATTATCAACAGTGGAAGTAGATGTATCCATTGGTTTTTCACACACACTGGATCGATACTGGACACTGTTAAGTGTTGATAAAAATTCAAACATTTTATCTTCTCAGAACCAGGCTCTGATACCAATTGAAGGTGTGAAAAACACAAGAAAGGGGGGTTTGAATTGGGTTTTAAAAATAAAACTATTCTTTTAAAGATATTCCCCTTTAAGTAAAAATTCTTTTCCCTTCACTCTTGATAATAATAATAAGTAAGAACATGAAGTAAAGAACAATGTATGTTTGTACTAGTTCACTTGAAAATTATTAAGCTAGTCTAGTCCACACGCCAAGGTGATTTTTCCTTACTCAATTGAGGATTTATTCCACTATAACCAAACTGGTTACAATTTGCACAAGCTACCCGCAAGTTACTAATAACCTCTAGACTCACAAGCTCTAGACTTCTTAAGTTTTCAGACCTACCTCGTCCCTTAAGGAATATCAGCTAATAATCAACCTAATTACTACAATGCACAAGCTACCCACAAGTGACTAACAACTTCTAAAACTCACAAGCTCTAGATTTCTTAAGGATTCAGACCTACCCGATCCCTTAAGGAATATCAAACAACGGTTTGAATACAAGTTTTGTTTACAAGAGTATTGCTTCTAAAAAGCTGAGTATGTAAACTATTTTATGAACAGTGACTTAGAATGTGAAAGCAATAAACAACGTTTGCGCATGAATATTCAGTAGTTTTCCAGCTTTATTTCTTGGTCTTCAAGCCTTTATACATCCATTAACATAATGTATCCATTGAGGGATACACTTGGAATTTCCAGAAACATTGGCAGCTTGAACAGTAACGTAGGGGACAAGATCGTGCGACGCGTTCGTCCTTTCATGGTAATGGAATGAGACGTTGATTGTACCATGTACTATTTGTACCATGTTAACATTATCTTCTTTCCTTATGAACTTCAGAGGCTTCTGCGAGCATGAGTTTAGAAGCGAGAACATAACATCAGGTCATCAAAACTTCAAGTCTTCAGAGTCTTCAGAACTTCGTCTTTAGAGTCTTCAGCACTTTGTTATGAGAACCTTTTCTTCAAACATTGGGTCTTAGAACTTCAAGTATTTAGAATCTTTAAACCTTTTGTCTTTTAGAGTCTTCAGCACTTGGTCTTCATAACCCTTATCTTTAGAACTTCATAAATAGAACACAAAGCTTTCAGCGTCTGGACTTCAGTAGAAACTTTGTCTTCAAGATCTTCTAACTTTGTTTCTTGAATTATGTTGTCTTTAGAAACGTGAGTCTTCAGCATCTGGATGTAAGTAACAACTTTTGTCTTTAGATGTTCTAATTGGTTTCCTTAGAACATGTTGTCTTTAGAAGCTTGAGTCTTCAGCATCCGGACATAAGTAACAACTTATGTCTTCAGATCTTTTGACTGGTTTCTTCAGACAAATGTCAGAGTTTACACTTCAGAGTCTTATGGAGTGTATTGCTACTGTTCAACAGAACTTATGTAGCATAGAAGCAGAATCATTTCTCTTCTAATAACAAACATTAGTATAACAAAATTGTTCATACAATCATACTCATTTTTTATCATCAAAACTCATAGATTATATTGCAAAACAAAATCCTGTTCTTACTCTAAGGATACTTCTCCATGCAAAACTTGGATTAAAACCCATTGTGGCTTCCTCGATGGACCATCTAAGATAGTATCTTCCTTTTAACACCTCCCCGGACAAGGAATTCCTGTTTGTAAGTAACCTCCAGTAATGTTTCTCAAGTTAGCTAGTCTTGAAGTCACTAATCCCACCGAAATCCCAAACCACCCTCACTTTAGCCAAAGACAATTTACCCTAACTCAACCAATGGATCTTGCTCTTGTCATCTTTTAAGCCCCGCCAAAACCTAGTTATCATTGCTTCAATCTCGTGGCAGAAACTTCCTGGAAGTCTTTAGCAGCTCAAGATGTAGCTGGGAATGGCCTGTGCCACCACTTTAAAAAGCACCTACACGCCATCCCTAAAGAGAAACCCCTCCTTCCATCCTTTTATCTGTTTCCAAACTCTGTCCAGAACCAAAGCAAAGATCCATTTTAGACCTCCTAAAAATAACAGGCAGCCCCAAGTATTTAACATGGATAACAACCAGCTTAACCCCCATT